GGGTTTTCTTGGCAAAATGTCCACAGGGGTTTTGCCATGGCTTTTCTGGGGCTGAGAGAGTGTGCATGCATATTTTAAAAAAATGTTTTTTTAATTTTTTAATTTTTATTTGTTTATTTATTTATTTATTGGTGCTTTGGACGCCTAATTGTCTGAGGGACAGCAACACGGCCCCTGGCTCAAAAAGGTTGCCCTGCCCTAGGGTCTCCTCTCTGTATATTCTACCACAGTTATTCTTTTTAAAAGAAAGGTAATTCTCTACAGTTTTGTAATAACTTCACCAAAACTGCCCAACCTGTTTCTTCCCCCCCCCCAAAAAAAACAAAAAACAAAAAAAACCCTGACATGGTTTTCTAGTCACTTCTGGATTGGATGTTTTCAGTAATTTTTGCATGGAGAGTGCTGGTATGGCCTTCAGTGAATATGAGATTATGGAAAATTGGTTCTTGGACTACAGGGTGTAGTGCTTTCTCAAGGTTTACCTGTTCTAAAACATTGAAATGCCTCTCCTAAGGCTTAGATAACAACAGTAAGAGCTTTAAATTAAAATATGATGATCTCATCCTTTTACCCTACCCACAACTGGTATGTGCCCTCTGAAAACTTATGTGAAAAAGAATCCAGGCCTCGCTATGAAAGTTTCTTCCCCTCTGCCTTTGGTCTATTCTGTTGACTCTTGTCTAATCCACAAATGGGATAAGCCCTGGAGCCAAATTCACACTACCATGGCTCCTCATCCTTCCCATGGACCCCCTGCCCCCACGAAACCTGTCTTCTTGGGCATCCATCCCCATCCAAGAAGGAAAGTGATGACAGGAGCTGGCTTTGCTCTCTTTTTTCCTCTCTCATTGGGAACACTGTGAGGCAAACAGTGATGGTTTAACCACCAGGGCAAGCAGGCACAAGAAAGTAAAGATTCTGGGCAAAGATATTTGGTGTGTGTGTGGGGGGGAGACACAAGACAACAACCAAATACAGTCAGCCCTCCATTTTCGCAGGGGATCCATTCCAGAACCCCCCATAAAAATGGAGACTCACTGATGTTCAAACCCCATAGGCTCCAATGGGGTGCCCCCCCTTGATAACGGAGGTTGCCCCCCCATGAAGATTCAAAACCGCGGATCTCAAATCTGTGAGAACAGAGGGGCGACTGTAGTCCCATTCATTGACAACAGGTGGCCCCCAACATAACCCTCAGGCCAAAAACAGCAAAGTTCCCACACCAGGTCAACAACCCTCTGGGATTTCAAACAGAGGTCTTTCCAACACTCCCTGGAGATAACAAGGATTAAACATATTACTTTCTGTATAGAGTGTAGAGCAGGGGTAGGCAACCTTTCTCCTTTAAGGGCCGAGGGACTTCAACTCCCAGAATCCCAGGAGCTATTGGCCAACATGGGACTATTGGCTAACATGGCTGAGGCTTCTGGGAGCTGAAGTCCCTCGGCCCTTAAAGGGGAAAGGTTGCCTACCCCTGGTGTAGATGGCCCTTCTGATTATGGCCCTTCCATAAATTACCATATATACTCAACTATAAGTTGACTTTATGTATAAGTCAAGGGCAGGTTTGGGAGGCAGAATTATGGATTTTGATATGACCCTTGGATAAGTCGAGGGTTAAACTTAGGGGCATGCAACAAAGGGTCTAAATGATGAAGCAAAGGAAAGCAATTGCAAAGAACCTACAAAATTCTGGCAGGAATAACTATTTTGGCTATTTGTTGAATAGGAACGCCCAGATAAATATGGTACCACAACCAACACTAACAATTAGGCTTTATATTTACTAAATAAGATGAATTTTAAAATATTTTGGTTTTAATTTTAAAAAAGGATGATATACATGTATCTGTGACTACTACTAAGGTATATATAATCTCAGCACTTTCTTCTTTCTAGTCACAAAGCAGAGCAATAAAACTCAAGGGGTTACACTGCAATAAAGCTTCAAGGGCAAGCTGCTGGAAATCCTGACATCAGTGTCACCTGTGTATTCTTGTCTTCCTTCTCTGCACAGCTCAAAGCTTCCTGCTTTGCCAATTCTCATGTATTCTTGGAATATGTTCAACTACACAGGAACATGTGGTTGTACAGATTATGCTGGACTGCAGCTCCCACCATCCATCACCACAGGCTCTTCTGGCAAGCGCTGATGGGACCAGCAGCCTGATCACAGCTGAAGCATCACACATCCCTCACCTAGCCTACAATATTTCAGTGCCTTAAGTTTTTTGTTGACAAGCAAAAAACTATCAGCTTTCAGATGTTGCTGGACAACTCTTATCATCCCTGACCATTGGCCATGCTGGTCAATATCCTGAGGGACCCACCAATGAACTAATAATTAGGAACACAGGAAGCTGCCTTATACTGAATCAGATCATTGGCCCACCTAGCCCATTTTTATCAATTCTCAGACTGGCAATAAAGGGATCACCAAAGTTTCAGGAAAAATTCTCTCCTTGCTCTACCTGGAGATCCCTCAAAATCTCTGCTGATTCCCCATCTAAATACTAACCATGCCTGACCCTGTTTAATGTCTAAAATTGTATGAGATCAGATGTATTCAGTTGGTACAAACTGATGTATTCAGTTAGTAGGCATGACAGCTGATACATCCAGTGCCTTTAGCAATGAAAAAGCACTTCCGCAAAAATTCTTTGCCCACAAATGTGCTACACACAAGGTACACTGAGGATGAATTGGAGTTTCATGTTTACCTGGCATGTCTGAAACATCCTCTGCTTGGGGCAGCTGGTGTAGTTTCTCCTTTCATCCCAGTTCTCTACCAGCTGCATCCCCCCTCTCTCCATTGGCTGCTGTCAGTCTCACCCAGCACCTCATCCTGGGATTGAAAGTGACTGAGACGCAGCCTCAACAAACAAGATTGTGTGTAGTCAGTGTGGTATGGTGGTCATCAACTAAATTACATCCACTGGGGCCTATTAAGCTTCTGCATCTCTAGCAGAAAAAAACTAGAACATTTAGGGGCTTCACTCATAAACTGTCAGAAATATGTTCAGTGAAAATGGAATACATGTAGTGTTGGCAAGTGAGATGACATACATGTTCACCATTCCCCAGCACACAACCTAAAATTAACCACAGGGTGGCAGGAGAACTGGATGCAACAGCCAGCTAACCTTAACAATAGCCGGAGAAAGCAGTTTGCAGCCTAACCAACACAAAATGCTTGTTTTATTGCAGCAGGCTGGTAGACATATGTGGACACACTACACCTGTGGGACCAAGCCCACACTTCAGTTGCAGCAAGTCCAGAAGGGGGGGCATACCCTGGTATTTTTCATCAGTCCCTGAGTAAACATTTGTATTGTTATATTCAATAAAGATGAATAAAAGAGTAACAAAGATTGTGATAGATTTTCACACAATATCAGCTTCTGCTCCTCTCTTTTCACTGTGAAGAATGCTACCATCCAAGCAACAAACTTCTCACCCTGTAGAGCAGGGGTTGGCAACTTACGGCCCACGGCCTGCACCCAGCCTGCCAACCCCTGCCGACTGACCCCCACCGCCACACGCGCCACTGTGCACGCGTCATGGCCGCCATTTTGTTTGCCAAAATGGCGGCCGCAACTCATTGACACATGTGCAGTACTCCTGAGCATGCGCAAACGAGTTGCGGCGTCAGCGGGAGGTCTGCGGGGGGCATGCACGCATGCATGAGTGTGCGCATCGCCACTTCCACCCCCCCTGGCCCGGCGGAAGACCTGGGGACCAGCGACCGGCCCCAGGTACGTAAACCTTGCCAACCCCTGCTGTAGAGCTACCCTCTAGACAAAATGTATGGATCAAAAAGAGGAAGACAGAGGGTTTAACTAGTTATATTTTCTGTTGTGCTTCATTACTATGGCTGACAAGAGGATAGAATCAAAATCATTATGACCATAAGCTGTACATGAATACATTGCCACTCGATTATTTCCAAAGGGATAGCCCTGTTAACCCGTTGCAGCATAAACAACAGTGATGCCTTAAACGCCAAGAAATGTGCTAGTCCATCCAAGTTCATTGTGTAATAACATCATTGTTTTATAAAATGTCACAGGACTCTTTTTTGTTAATGCTCTATCTCCCTCACACTGCTTAAATACATCAAGAAAGGCTAAATAACATCAAGACTGGCTATAGGAAGCATTAAATAAAAGATCCCAGATTCCCATTCATATACGTGTCTTCAAGTCAACTTATGGCAACCCCATGAATTTTGTAGAATTTTCTTTAAAAATATGCAAGCTGCTCTCTCTGGAAAATAAGTCTATAGCACCTGATACTCATTGGCAGTCTCCTTTCCAAATACTAACCAGGACTGACCCTGTTTAGCTTCCAAGATCTATACACTACATTACAGAACATGCAGCTGACCTTGTTTCCTTTTGTAATCTAGATCACAACCACCACACATGGCTGGAGAGACTTAGCTCACCACCAGCTGTTTGCCCATTTAACACCACATGGGTCAAAATCGACTCCAGGGCAGTTAACAACAACAAATACCACTACCACCATGCAATAGGAACTTAAAATGAAGCTTTCAGATGAACATAAACTGCCTGTATAAGTGCTTCCAAAGTGCTGGTAATCACAAATAGAGTATACTCACTGAATAAATGATATTTACATAAGTGTTGACTTCAATTCAACTATTGCCTCAATGCTTCTACTCTAGTTGAGACTACCAACTGGATTTGAGCCAGAGTATGTCTAGAGTAATTTCTCCCTATTTATTTACTAAAACCATATCCCCACCTCCAGCATGTACCAAGTTTATATGGCCTAAGTGAACATCTATGGTCAGCCAGGATGCTCACAACACGACTCTCACTGCCTCATATAAATCATTTGTTATTGTTGTTGTTTGTCATCAAATCATTTCTGACCTAAGGGGTTTCTTGGCAAGTTTCTTCAGAGGGGATTTGCCATTACCATCCTCTAAAGCTGAGAGACTGTTTTGCCCAAGATCACTAAGTGGGTTTACATGGTTGAGTTGGGATTCAAACCCTCGCCTTCAGAGTCACAGTCCAACACTCAAACCACTACACCACACTGGCTCTCCACATAACTCATGGGGTTATTTAATTTCTACACCTCCACGAGACACACACAGATAAGCTTCCTTGAACACATGACAAATATTTTTCTCCACTCAGGATTGGATTAACCATAACTCTCACTTCACTCCACTTCACAGAGCTTTCAAACAGACCAGAGCCTCAACCCTCCTTATTAGAAATTAACCACTGGGCAGAACCACTGGAAAAAAAGATTTTGATCTGGGCCATCTTTAGCTGTACCCTTTGACTGTGTCCCTTCCAAGTATGCTACAGCAGGACTATAAGATTGAGTTAGGTGTATGTTTATTATTATTGTGTGCCTTAAAGTCATTTCAGGCTTATGAGGACCCTAAGGCAAAACTATAATAGGGTTTTCTTGGCAAGATTTGTTCAGAGGAGGTTTGTCACTGCCTTCCTCTGAGGCTGAGAGCATGTGACTTGACCAAGGTCACCCACTGGGTTTTGTGGCAGAGCTGGAAATCAAAGCCTGGTCTCTATAGTTAGAGTACAACACTCAGACCAGTGCAATACACTGGCTCCCAGTTAAGTATATAGCTGCTGCAAATACATAAGGGCAGCCTGACCTCAGCACTGGAATGAGGGGGGGGGGCAATTTCAGGAGAGGCAAGAGTTACTAGAAGGGACCACAGCCAAGGAAACCTCTGCCAGCAATAGTGCTCCTGCTACCTCTTGAGCTATTATTACTTCTGATTTAATGCACGGCGCCACCCAATGGCGCGCCAGGCGTTGTGTGGCATTAAAATAACTCCAACAAACAGAATGCAAAGGGATCTTGTAGCACTATTGAGACTGACTGTATGAAAGAAACATGCAAAGGGATCTTCTTGCGGCACCTTTAACTGAAAGAGAGAAATTGGATGCATGAGCTTTGGTAGACTTGAGCCTAGTAGCCGAGGGATCTTGGAGCACCTTTGAGACTAAATGAAAGAGAGAAGTTGGGAGCATGAGCTTTGGTAGACTTGAGCATAGTAGCAGAAGAATCCTGTAGCACCTTTGAGACTACGATCCAAAATACACTGCAGAAATAATCCAGTTTGATACTGCTTTAACTGCTCTGGCTCAGTGCTAGGAAATCCTGGGGATTGTACTGTAGTTTATTGTGGCACCAGAGCTCTCTGACAGAGAAGGCTAAATGGCTCACAAAATCACAGTTCCTAGAATTCCATTAGCATTGAGCCACAGCAGTTAAAGCGGTGTCAAACTGGATTATTTTTGCAGTGTGTTTTGGACTTAGGTGAAAGAGAGAAGCTGAGATCATGAGCTTTGATAGACTTGAGCCTGCTTCCTCAGGTGCATCTGGAATTGGTTTACTGAGCATCTACAGAAGTAGACCTAGGGCCTTTGCAGACTGCCAGAAATAGTGCAAATTGAGTCCTTTAAGGGTTAGTGCTAGGGAATCATGGGAATTGTTGTTTTTTTCTGAGACATTGAGCCTTCTCTGTCAGAGAGCTCTGGTGCCACAATAAAATACAGAGCTCTGCCCCTAGTCTATGAAAGCTCATACTACAACTCCTTTCACACAATTAAGTCTCTGCAGTGCTACAAGATCCTTTTGCATGCTGATATTCCATAGGTGCATCTTTTATTGTTGTGTACCTTAAAGTTATTTCTGATTTGTGGTAACCCTAAGATCAGGAGTTTTCTTAGCAAGATTTATCCAAGGGAGGTTTGCCATTGCCTTCCCTGAAGCTGAGAGAATGTGACTTGCCCAAGGTAATCCAGTGGTTTTCATTGGCTGAGCTAGAAATTGAATAGTATTGAGTATGAAGCACTGAGTCCCACACTCAAACCACTTCGCCACAGTGGCTCCATGCAATATATTTGTTGTTAACTGCCTTTGTGTAGATCTTGACCCATGGTGACCCTATGGATGAGACACCTCCAGCCCCCCCCCCTGCTCTGCCCAGCTCCTGCAAACCCATATTTTAATAAAGTCCATCCATCTAGCATGTGGTTTTTCTTTCTTTCTACTTCCTTCCACCTCGCCTAACATTATTATCTTTTCCAATAATTCATGCCTTCTCATGATGTGTCCAAAGTACGACAGTCTCTGTCTTGCCATCTTGGCTTCTAGGGATATTTCTGGCTTGATCTGCTCTAGGACCTATTTGTTTGTCCTTCTGGCTGTCCCAATACTATATACCTATAAAGCTCTATATAAAAGCTTGATCTGCCCTAGGACCCACTTGTTTGTCCTTCTGGCTGTCCCAATACTATATACCTATAAAGCTCTATATAAAAGCTTGATCTGCTCTAGGACCCATTTGTTTGTCCTTTTGGCTATCCAAATACTATATGCCTATAAAGCTCTATATAAAAGCTTGATCTGCCCTAGGACCCACTTGTTTGTCCTTTTGGCTGTCCCAACACTATATACCTATAAAGCTCTATATAAAAGCTTGATCTGTTCTAGGAC